TATTATTTTTAATTATAAATATTTGCACTGTAAAAATGATAAACAAAAGAAATAGTATTTTGCAATTCACCTCATGGAAGTACTGTAGCGCAATCTCTTTATTGTGAAAGTGCAATTTATGAATGTAGGGTTTTTTTGTTACATAACTGCACTTTAAAACAATAGAATGTAAAACTTTAGCGTTTACAGTTCCATTCAGTCCTGCTTCTTGTTCAGCCAACTGCTAAGACAAACAAGTTTATTTACATTTATAGGAGATAATGCTAGCTTTGCTTCAGCATTCTGTCACACACACTCCCTGTGTACAGCCTACTGACAGCATATTAGCAATCTTTGATTATACAATAAACTGGGTAGAATGCACTGGAGAAAAGAAAGCATGTGCTCCCTGTTCAATGAATGAGAACTAGGAAACAGAGGGAGGGTCTTCATTCCTATGTACTCCTATTTGATTTTATATATTGATTCATATAGAACCTTTGGTTTGCCTTAAAGCTCATTACAGAATTGTGAGTGTATTTTCACTCCACTTAGTGGAGGTGTCTGCAAAGACCTGTTTTAAGTCTAATTCTTCTGTGGCAATGAGTGCCGCATAATGGACAATGCTTCATATGGTTTAGTGGTGCTTACTGTTTTGTATGTCTAAGGCCATGTCTACAGTACAAACTTTGGTCAACACAAGTTACGTCAGCATAAAGCCACCGCAGTTAGTATACTGCTTGTGTATGTGCGGATACTTGGCTCCTTGCATCGGCACAACACGTACTCACCAGGAGTGCTTGTGTTGATGCATGGTGCAGTGCACCATGGATAGGTATCCCAGTATGCAACCTGCCATCATCCAGTGCACTGGCTTTTGAGTAGTTTTGGCAATGCACAGTGGGGCAGAAATGAGTCATGCATGGGTGACTGGGAGCAAGGGGTCAACTTCTCAGGGTGCAACTGTGTCCATTTCATAATCTCAGCTATATCCCATTATTTTTGTACCTTTTAAAAAAAATTCATGAACCCACACAGCTCTCCTGGCTGTCCGCCATCTCTGACAGAAGCATGGAGCCTGCACAGCTGTGCACTATTGTCATAATCATTGCAAGCCCAGAACACATGATCCTCTGCTATTTGCAGAGTTGTTTGAAGAACTGAATTAAAGGGTAACATGATGATTTCTTGGAGGCTAGATTGCTGTGTGACATAGCAAGAACCAAATCAAAGTTGGTGGTGGTGTTCACAGAGCAGCTGCAGATGGTGGTGTGCTGCTTTTGGACCCAGGAAATTAGCACTGACTGGTGATATCACATCATAATCCAGGTTTGGGTTTATGAGCAGTGCTTATAAATCAGGCCTCATTCCTGAATACGTGTGCTGAACTCACCCCAGCTCTCCCATGCAGGGACACCAAATTGAGAGCTGCACTGACAAAAGAGAAGCAAGTGGCGACTGCACTGCGGAAACTTGCAATGCTGAATGCTACCAGTCAGTGGGAAATCATTTTGGAGTTGGAAAATCCACTGTGGGACTGTGATCATGTACGTGTGCAAGGCCATTAATCGTCTCCTGCTGCACAGGACTGTGACTCAGCAACGTGCAGGAACATAGTAGCTGGATTTGCAGCAATGGGGTTCTTGAACTGCAGTCTATTGCTCCACTGCAGTTTGAGAATCCCATTACTGCAAATTCAGGCACTATGTCCGGCACATTGCTGTTCATGTCAGGGGCCTGTGAGTCAGGCTTATCAGAGGTACCCGTGGTGGTATGTGGGGTTGAAATGGGGTCTCCACCAAGTATGACTGTTGGCCTTCCTGGCCTTCCGGTATGCTTACATACTTCCTTCACTTTCATACAGCACTGCTGCTGGTCCTTGTTGTACTCCTTCTCCTGCATCCCCCGTGCAATCTTCTTGTAGATGTCCATATTTCTCCAGCTGGTCCATAACTGTGCCTGCACAGCCTCTTCTCCTCACAGACTTAGGAGATCCACTATTTCCTGTCTACTCCAAGCCGGTGCACGTCTGGAGCATGTAGCCAGCATGGTCTGCTGTCAGTTGCACACAACAATGGGGAGCTGCTAGGTGTGCTTGCCAAGCTGGATAATCAGGACAAGCCATTTGAAAAATTTGTGGGGCTTTAAAGAGGATGTGGGGCTTCTGGTCTCCATGATCCCTGAGCAGTAGAGTTCACAATTGTGACCAGAGTAGTCAGTGTCAGGCATTGTAAGACAGATGCTGGAGGACTGTTAGGGTTGACATAAATAATGCAGTGTCTATACTTGTGCTGTGTTTACCTCAGTACATTGACCAAGGCTCAACACTAGTTAGGGAGGTGGTGTGACTGTCGCTGTAATGGGGTGCTTACATCAGTGGGAGACAAATTTAAGTGTAGACACATACACAACTAGGTGACACAATGTGGCTTACATCAACCTAACATTGAAGTGTAGACCCGGCTGAAATCTCATGCTGATTCTGTCTGTTTGGCTCTGGCTACACTAGAGAGCTTAGAGTGGCACAGCTGCACCACTGTTAGCTCTCTGTACAGCTGCTGTAAGATGATGGGAGAAAGCTCTCCCGTCTACTTAATTAATCCACCCCCAACGAGCAGTGGCAGCTATGTCTTCAGGAGAGGTCCACACTGGCGTTTAAGTCAGCATAAGTTATGTTGCTCAGGGGGTGGCGAATTCACACCTCTGAATGACATCATTTATGACTTAAGCCCAGGGGCGGGCAAACTACGGCCAGCGGGCTGGATCTGGCCTGTCAGGGCTTTGGATCCGGCCCACAGAACTGCCCCCCGTGGTATCACAGGCCCCGCGCCGCTCTCAGAAGCGGCTGGCACCATGTCCCTGGGGCCCCGGGGGGGAGGGGCGGAGCGCAGAGGTCTCTGTGCATTGCCCTTGCCTCCAGGCATCGGCCCCTGCAGCTCCCATTGGCCGGGAACGGGGAACCGCGGCCAATGGGAACTTCGGGGGAGGTACCTGGAGGCGTGGCAAGGGCAGCACATGGAGCCCGGTGGCCCCCCTCCAGGGGCTGCACAGGGATGTTGTTCTGACAGCTTCCCAGAACGGTATGGTGCGGGGCCAGGGCAAGCATGCAGGGAACCTGCCCTGGCCCCGGTGCGTGCCGCTGCCACCCCGGAGCAGCTTTAGGTAAGCGGCACCTGGCCAAAGCCCGAACCCCTCCTGCACCTCGCACCCCCCAACCCCCTGCCCTCAGCCCCCTGCCACACCCCATACCTCTCCTGCACCCCAACTCCCTGCCCTGAGCTCCCTCCTGCAGTCCACACCCCTTCTGCACCCCAACTCTCTTCCCTGAGCCCCCTCATATACCCCGCACTCCTCCTCTGCCCCAATCCCTTACCCTGTTCCTGCACACTGCACCCCCTCCCACATCCCGCACCCCAACCCCCTGCCCTGCATACAATTTCCCCACCCAGATGTGGCCCTCAGCCCAAAAGGTTTGCCCACCCGACTTAAGCTGTAGTGTAGCGATAGCCTCAGTTCCTCCAATAGCTGTTTTCAGTTTTTCAATAGCTATGATGGATGCAGAACATGCATGAAGCATATTACCACTGCCTGTTTCTTATGTGCTTTTTCCATGCCAGCTGCACATGCTGGCCCCCTATACTAGGTGTCTGTGACAGCACACTATCAGCAGCACCACGATCACTGACATTGCTGCAGCCTGAAGAAGGCCACAGCCCAGGTGGAGGTATTTAATCTTTCTATTGGGGGATTATGAGCACCTGGGTGGTAATCACTGGGCTAATGATGTAATTGGAAGAATATAAGTGGAACAAACAGGAAGCAAGGGGACCTCAGAAGGAAAGCTTAGAAGGTGAGTGTGGGCTGAGGTGTGATGATAGTCTGGCAGTCTCTCCTTACTGTATACCTGCATCACAGTTACTTTGTAAGAAAAGAATAGATACATAACTTGGGGAAAGGATAACAACCTGGTGTGTGTTTGTGACTGTGAGACTATGCGAACTGGCAAGCAGTGAAGTACACCAGCCAGTGAGAGATGCCCTGTGACAGCATCACACAGCTATTCCAACTGGGGACTCTATTGTTCTTCCAGTGCAGACAGTAGCTTCTCCCAACTCCACAGGCTTATTCAGTAACATGATAGGCAGGTCACACCTCTACAGTTCCCAGGCCAACATTAGAATGATTGAAATGGTAATTTCTGCTGACCAGAAATTCCATTCAGTCAGTATGGTAAAAAGAAAAAGGAGTACTAGTGGCACCTTAGAGACTAACCAATTTATTTGAGCATAAGCTTTTGTGAGCTACAGCTCACTTCATCAAGTGAGCTATAGCTTACAAAAGCTTATGCTCAAATAAATTGGTTAGTCTCTAAGGTGCCACTAGTACTCCTTTTTCTTTTTGCGAATACAGACTAACACGGCTGCTACTCTGAAAACTGTCAGTATGGTAAGGTTCTCTGTTGGAGAATCCCAAAGAAAAGGATTCCACTGTTATACAGCCATGTGTTAGGTCGAATGTGGCAGTCCTTAAAATTATGCAAGCAACACTTGGCAATGCTTTAGGAACTAGAATTGGAAACATATAAGGTAAGGCACAGCTGAGGATCTATCTGTATCCCAAGAACCCCTTAATGCCAACTGGCAAGAGTGTTACAGGAATATCCTGGTTCTGGTGTGTACATTCTGCTTCACCAAAGAATGTCATGCAAGGTCTTAAATGAAAGCTGGGGTCACACTGGTCATCAATAGTATCTGTACATACATTTCACAATTATATGTAAGGAGTTATGTCTAGATACTGAAAATATGTTTTAAAGTCTGTATCAAGGCAGAGCTGGCAAGCAGAATTTCTTTCAGACAAGAGATGTGTATTCCCCTCTGTTGAGATGTAAATTAAGCACTTTAACACAATAGGTCTCACATCACCCATCTAATCTAAATGCAAATGAAGGACTGTAAGAATTGTAGAAAGGAATTAACAGGTAGGGAAACAGAGCAGGGGGAGAAAACCTTATCCTGAGACACAATTTCAAAGGTATATTTGCAGAACAAAGAAGACATTCCATCATCTTGCAGCTAGGAAGTAAACAGGCAATGTGTTTACATTCATGAAAATGGGATCTAAACCAGCCTTGGTTGGAAATGCTGCAGAAGACTTTGGGTGAGATAAGAATTCTTTGGACAGGAGGTTAGCCTGTTAAGTTTCGTTTCCAGAAAGCATGTTATGATTTTGTTTTATATGTAACCTTTTATTTCCAAAAAAAGAGTACTTGTGGCACCTTAGAGACTAACCAATTTATTTGAGCATAAGCTTTCAGCTCACTTCATCGGATGCATGCAGTGGAAAATACAGTGGGGAGATTTTATATACCCAGAGAATATGAAACTATGGGTGTTACCATACACATTGTAATGAGAAAAGGAGTACTTGAGGCACCTTAGAGACTAACAAATTTATTTGACCATAAACTTTCATGAGCTACAGCTCACTTCGAGTGATCAGGTAAGGTGAGCTATTACCAGCAGGAGAGAAAAAAAAAACCTTTTGTAGTGTTAATCAAGGTGGGCCATTTCCAGCAGTTGACAAGAACGTCCGAGGAACAGTGTGTGTGCGGGGAAAAACATGGAGAAATAGTATTACTTTGTGTAATGACACATCCACTCCCAGTCTTTATTCAAGCCTAAGTTAATGGTGTCCAGTTTGCAAATTAATTCCAATTCAGCAGTCTCTCATTGGAGTCTGTTTTTTTGTTGAAGAATTGCCACTTTTAGGTCTGTAATCGAGTGACCAGAGAGATTGAAATGTTCTCCGACTGGTTTTTGAATGTTATAATTCTTGACGTCTGATTTGTGTCCATTTATTCCTTTTACGTAGAGACTGTCCAGTTTGGCCAATGTACATGGCAGAGGAACATCGCTGGCACATGATTGCATATATCACATTGACAGATGTGCAGGTGAACGAGCCTCTGATAGATGTGGCTGATACGATTAGGCCCTATGATGGTGTCCCCTGAATAAATATGTGGCCACAGTTGGCAACGGGCTTTGTTGCAAGGATAGGTTCCTGAGTTAGTGGTTCTGTTGTGTGGTTGCAGGTGAGTATTTGCATCAGGTTGGGGGGCTGTCTGGAAGCAGGGACTGGCCTGTCTCCCAAGATCTGTGAGAGTGAGGGCTGTCCTTCAGGATAGGTTGTAGATCCTTGATGATGCGTTGGAGAGGTTTTAGTTGGGGGCTGAAGGTGATGGCTAGTGGCATTCTGTTATTTTCTTTGTTGGGCCTGTCCTGTAGTAGGTAACTTCTGGGTACTCTTCTGGCTCTGTGAATCTGTTTCTTCACTTCAGCAGGTGATCTTCCTGAAAACACCATCCTAGCCACTATGGATATAGACGCTCTCTACACCAACATTCCACACAAAGATGGACTCCTTTTCTCGTTACAGTGTATATGGTAACACCCATTGTTTCATATTCTCTGGGTATATAAAATCTCCCCACTGTATTTTCCACTGCATGCATCCGATGAAGTGAGCTCTAGTTCACAAAAGCTTATGCTCAAATACATTTGTTAGTCTCTAAGGTGCCACAAATACTCATTTTCTTTTTGCGGATACAAGTAACACAGCTGCTACTCTGAAACCTTTTATTTCCATTATCCTTACTCACTATCTCTTGAATCTTGAACCTTTTGGTAATAAATTTATCCATTTTCACTATAAATACATCTAAGTGCTGTGATGTTAAGCAACCTGCTGATCCTGAGTTGAATCATACAAGTTGGTATGTACACTGTTTCCCTTGTGGACAGCAGACCTGGTATTTTTGTGAGCTTCACCAGATGAGGGTCTGGAAGCTACAGGTGAATGTACCAAAGGAGCTTGGGGACTAGGGTGCACTTATTTTTAACCTGTAAAGCAAATTAAGGGCAGCATTAGCCAAGGGAGAGTGTTTGGGTAGCTAAAGGGCTGGTAACGTCAGGGAGCTGACATGCAGCTAAGGACCAGCAAGTCTCTCTCACGCTGGGGACAGGAGCGGTGACAAATGATTCACAGTTCTTGGTACCCCTAGAACAGTCACATTATCCCTGGGCCTCTGCTGAACCCTGCATAAGCCCCCTATCTATGTCTCTGCTGGTGTCAGGCACCCCTTTCACTGCCCTCTTTCCCCGTTCCTATTCTATAATCTTCTTTGCTTCCCCCTCATCCTCCATGAGTTCGCTTTGTCCCAGTAGGATCTGTACACCTCCATATATCCCGTCTTCCCATTTGGAGACCAGAAAGCACAACTCTGACACCCCCCTGCATGTGCCTTCCACTCCCCAGCCCCTGTAGCTCCTTCCTGGTCCCCTGCCCACCACTTCATAATCCCTCCCAGGCAGGCTCCTGCTCCTCTGTCTTTCGTTTTGGTCTCCCAGTCCCCAGTCTATAACCCCCTTACTCCTGGCAGCTGGAGTCCCAGGATCCATTTTTATTTATAAACAACTATCGGTATAAATGATGCTGATCAGACGCTTGGAAAAAAAACTCTATATAATTTCAGTCACCCCAGTGGCAGCTCTCCCCACAACGGCTAAAAGACATTTATCAGCAGGGTCCACAGAACAAAACAAATTTGGCGTTTCTGGACCTAGGTTTTGGAGAGTTCATTAACCCCACGGCTTCAGAACCTTGTCCAAAATACAGTGGATTACGGGCAAGAGTTCAAAGCCCCGAGGAGGAAACCCAGATTCCGCTGACGCCAGCGGAGCCAGGATTTCATCCCCTTAAGTGTAAAACGCGCCGCGACGGCCGGCAGGAAGGACGGGTGGGGCAGGGCTCGCGCAGGGGCGGCGGCGGCGGCTGCTAGGCAGGATAACGGCCAGTTTTGTCCCCTCATTTCCGTACCTAGGTCCGGGTCATAACCACGGGATTAGCTCGGAAACCCGGCGCGCGGCCGCGAAGCTGATCTGCGCTGTGCCGCGGCGGCGGGACGCCACGGCGGTGTCTGTCGCGGAGTGACACGCCCCGAACGGCGCAGGGCCCGGCGGCTGCTGGCGTGCGGAGGTCACGCGCGGCCGCGCCGAGGCTGCCGGCAGGGCTGGGACCGGGGTCCCCGGCGAGGCTGCCCGGCTCTGCGGGGACTCAAGCTCCAAGCCGGACAACGCCACGCGCAACCACCGGCCGTAGCCCTGCGCCTGCGCACGTCACAGGGCACCTGATCACATTGACCCCTTGGCTAAGCATGGGGTGTGAGGGTTTAGCGCTCAGTGGTGCATGACTATTGTCCAATCAGAGGCGCAGTTAGATGGTAACCACGCTGTTAAATCATCAGGAGCGATGGTTGATGGGACCAATCGCATTGCTTGTTGTTGCCCAACCGCTGAAAAGTGGATGGGCGGGGCACCCTTAGTTACTTCCACCAATGGCTTGCGAGCTGCACTAAGAGTGACACCTCCCGTGCCAAATAGCGCTTCAATCCGTCTGAAGCCTGCAGAGGGCGGTGCAAGCGGGGGGTAAACAGCGTCGCAAGCTACGCGGGGTGGGGTGCTGCGTCTCTGTTATGAGCCAGTCGAAGGGAGGGGGCAGTGGGTCGCTTCGCGTCTCTGAATGTTTAAAGCTGTGGACCTATTACTAACCTGAGCACACGTCATAATCTTTCCCTCTTACTGGGCCCACACTGGAGCCGGTGGGCATGTCTACAATTGATTGACGTAGCTCTTCTAACCACCTGACATGCGCAGGGCTGGGGGAGCGCGGTTAAGCACCAACGACAGGGGAGCATGAGACCCGCAACTCGGTGGGGGGCACTCTGTTTGTGACGAGCCCAGCATTTACCCAATGGGTGGGAGAGACTAAAAATACAGCCCAATGAAGGCTGTGGAAGGGCAGGAGAAATGGGCGTGAACTCATCCAACGGGCTAGGCTTGTAGCCAATGAGGAGAAGGGAAGCGAGTCTCCAGCCAATGAATTATGTGGAGGGGCATGTATCAACATATGACTGTCGCTGAATGTAGCCAATAGGTGGGGAGGTAGTGACGACGCTACCCAATTGGAGATGCGGAAAGGTGGGTATTGTTATGATAGGCAAGAGTTGTGGCTAATGGGCGGAGAGATCATCGAGGCAATACCCAATTAACAGCACGGAGGGGTGAAAAGGGGCGAGGAGGTGTATGATGGACAGGGAATGAAGCGAATAGGCGGGGAGGTCGTCGCAACACTGTCCAGTGAGCGGCGCGGGGGGCGGCACGGAGGTGTGTCTTGGTGTGTTTGGGTTCGTGCTCCTGGGGGAGGGAGACGGCGGCGAGGAAAGTTTTTATTTTTTAATTTTATTTTGTTTTCAGTTTCTGGGGTTCGCGCTTCCCCGGCGGGTGAAGCGAGCGGGCGGGAGGAGCTGCCCCCAGCGCTAAGAAGAAGGGGGCTACGCGCGCCACAGCGGCGGCGGCTCCTCGGCGGTGAGTGCGGGACAGGCCCCCCCCCCCACGGGCACACACAGCACGGCGGGGTCTCCGCTAGCCCCTGCCATGCACCTCCTTGGGGCCCCGCGCTGCCGCTCTTCCCGCGGGCAGGCCCCTCCCCAGCACCCAGGGGCAGCGGGGGTCTGGCTGGAGACCGGCCCCGCCCTGTGCGATCCCCGGCCCCGCCAGGGGTCTCCCGGGGCCGCTCCCGACTCGAAGCCGGGGGTGGCCGCTCGCTGGCCTCTGCCCGGGCGGCTCGACTGGGGGCTGAGGCGGGGCCCGCAGCGTGCGCGGCCGGGGTGGGGGGGAGGGTCTAGGCCGGGAGTTTAAACTGGTGGCTGAGCCCCGCCCCGTGCGGAGAAAGCGGCAGCCCTGGGTTCCGCCAGGAGGAGGCGACGAAACGGGCCCGGAGCCCGCAGTTTCCTTCCCTCAGGGCGGGGGCCGCGCTGCTGACGGGCGGTTGGGGCCCGGTCTGCCCGCGGCCGGATGGGGCCTGCAGCGCCGCGCTCTGCCCGCGCCATGAGCCTCACCGCCGCTTCCTCGGCGCGACGTGCGAGGCCCCAAGGGGCCCGCGGGGCATCCCACCTGCCCCCCGGCACAGCCCCGGCCGCCAGCTCCGCCCAGCTGCGGGGTCGAGAGCCGAGCCGCACCGCCTGCGGGAGGCTAGAGTGGGATGTGGCCCGGGGAGAGACTAGGAGCCTCTCTGAGCGCAAGCGATTTGTCCTGGTTCCCTGCCGCCCCCGAGTAAGCCGCTAACCAACCTTTAGTGGTTGCAATTAGTCTGCCCCCGGAGTGTGGATAAACTCCCGAGGTTATTTTCATAGCACTACAAACCCCATTGGGTTTGTTTAACATGCTGCTAGTGTAAATGGGTGTGTAGGCGGGAGGAGAGACCGAACTCAAGAGATGTGTCCCAAGCTAGAACCAGTTCTTAGAGCTGTTCGTTTCATAGGAAAATGCGAGAAGACAAATTGCTAGTGCTGCTTAACACTGACTGCAGGATGGTGCCCAGCAGACTCTCCTGTGCCTGCTTTGTGATACTCCATATGTTAATAATATATATTATATATGACTAAATAGGAATAGGACATAACTGAGGTCATCTATGTTTGTGAGCGGTTTTTTTTTTAATCGAACCTAGAGATAAGTGGTTATGCTGAGGCTATATATTTGCATTCATAGTCAGACATGCTTAGTATGATTCTTTGGATTTACTGTCCCAGTTTAACTTCTATAAACAGGCTTTTTTAATGTCAAGAGTATATCTTGTTTTTTTAAACTTTTGGTTTTAACTTGCAGATTATTTTGAGCAGTCTGTAGAAACACATACTGCTTGCAGAGCATTGTTAGCTTCAAGTTCTTCTAGTCATCTGTTTATATTTAAGAAAAACTCCTGTATGACTAGCTAAGAATCATGAGTATCTTGCCTTTGCATTTAACAAGACTCTAGATTTTCTTGAAAGATGCTTCAAAAAATGGTAATAGGCTTTGGTGGCTTGTATAGTCACTTCATTTTGAAAATCTGCATGACATTACAGTTGTAGACTAATGCACAAGAGCAGATGGGTGTATTCATGTACCTCAAAATAAGACTAATCTGTTTAGCCCATAACAGTTTAATTGAATTATAACATCTGGAGTTGGCTGGCCCATCCAGGGGTATAGGCCACAGCTCTAGTTAGTGCAACTCATCAACCGGTAAAACACATTCTGTGAAGTAAGGTAATCATTCTGTGTGCGTCTGGCATGTTACCTCAGTGTGATTCTGTCATTGGAGCTAGGCTAACTGGAGAGGAGTTAATTACGTAGGGATGACATAGGCTTACAGGTTTGCAGTAACAGTGTGGGAGGTCTCTTCACTGCTGAAAGGTCAGCTGCTGTCTTTTTTTTTTTTTAACAGCAAGGTGTAGCTAATGCATGTTTAAAAATCTAATCCCTCCAAGCCTAGAGATAACTTTCAGGAAATACCAACTTCCTCATACACATGCAAACCGGCAAAAAATACTTTAATTGATAATTGAAATTTACAGATAGGCAAAGAAGAAAGTCTGCTTGAGGATTTACTGGAGTTCAATTTAAGGATATTTACTTGGTGTATTTTGAGGTGATGTTGACAATTTGTGTTTTAACAGTTTATAAAGCTTTGATTTTTTTTTAATCTTGGCATCTACTGTAATTAAATTATTATTGTCTGACCCCCATATACTGTCCCACATGTGTGAAACTTTAAATTGATAAAAATAAAAACAGAAATTATTTAAAAAAAAAATTGAATTCTGCCAAGCCTCATGATCTTGCTGTAAAGTCCTAGTGGAGGTAAGGTGCAAGCTATATAGCTAGGTGAGTTCAACATTATACTCTAGCCCCCCCTCCCCCCGCGCCCTCCCTCCCTGTCCCCCAAAATCTGGGTTTGACCTTGCCTACCTAATCCCAGTAAAAACTACATAGCATTCTCATTACTAGGATTTTACAGCAAAATAGCTAGTGGGAGTTAGATTGTAAAAACATACCTTGTTTGTCAGTGAAGGCATAGCCTCGATTTCTAGTATCCACATGGAGATATTGATGGGAGGTCCAGAACTGGGAATCTTTTCAGACTCTGTCTATTAGGTGTGCACAGGAAAAATTGGGACACGTTATCTACAGAATAATCAGGATCCTCAGCGACATATAGTTCCTTGCTACTGCAGATATTTTTATATTGCTGCATATTATGGCAGAAAAATCTTAAATTTTAAAAATTAAACCTTCAAAATGTGAGCCAAAGTAATAGTTGAGTCTTCAGACAGCCTGAAACGACAGTGAAGTGTGAACTTGCATTCACCTTTGTGGAATATAAACCATTTAAATGTCAATGTTGTCTGTTTCACTGCTGATCACTCTAGCAAAAACATCAAGCTAAAAAGTTTGTCACTTTTGCATAGTGGCAGATATTTGGGCTATAGTGGGCCAAACTAGCTGCTGTTAAGGGTTTCTGAGGTGTTGAACTAGGAATCAACTCCATTCCGCTTTCCAAAAGGTGTTGAAAGAATTTGAGGTCACTTTGCTAGTATCAGAATCATCAGTTACCTTATGGATAACAGAAACTAAAACAAACTTGAACAAAAACCTCAGTTGTTCCCTATCCAGCTGTCAAAACCTCCAGTCTTCTCCCAATAATTCCTACACTGTTGTCAGCATAAAAATTTGCAGTGTATTTGAAAATTTTAAATTTGTGGCAGTATAAAATAAATTACACAAAACTCATGGAGAGTGGGGGCGGACTTTGAGGCCGAGGGAGCCTTAGGGCGGCAAAACTGCCTCTCGCAGGAGGATTGGGAATACTTTGTTGTGCCAAAGATAGAAGCACAAAATAAGGGTAAGCCAAAAAAGGATGACACACAATAGAAAACTGCAATAAAATTAATTCCGATGTTTTAAAAAAGGGAACCTGTTTAAATATTCTTGTTCTAGTGAAATTAGAGTTGCTGTTCACATTTGTAAAAGAGTTGGGTTTATAATTAAGTTGTGTCAAACCCAGCTCATAAAATAATCCTTTCACAGAGGTCATCTTCAATGTCTTTATAACAAAAATTCTGGTTATGGTATTTTAATGAGGTTGTGGAGCGTATTTTAAATGGTGAGGGTTTGTTTACAAAGTGGGGTAATGTGCATGTGTTGCGTGTTAATTGCTCTGTGTAGACCCTGCTGGTGTGCACTGAAGTTTTCATAGAATGAAGCCCTGAGTCTGTTTTGTTAACAGTTCAGCTACTTCATTCTACAGTTCCTGTAGAACTCTTGGCTGCACACCTTCTGAGCATGATGACTCGTTGCTGTTTAAATTGTTTGTTTCATCACCACTTACATCATTCTGATTGTACCTACTGTTTATTACCTGGTAAGTGTATCTGTTGCCCAGATTTCTTCTGGTGTGAAGTGTGATGCAAAGAAATAATTTAACTTCTCTGCAGTGTCTTTTATCCTCAGTTGCTTGCTATACTCTCTTATAGATCAACAGGTCAGTCAAGACTTTTGCAGGCTTCGTACTTCTGGTATACTTTAAAAAAGTTACAGCTATTTTTATCTGATATCTTAACTTTACTGTTTAGCATTTTCTCTACTTTTTTATTTCTGAGTTCTGAATCAATATGTCTATCTGACACCACCAAATGTCATTTTGTCTTAACACTGACTATTTTTTAAAACATCTAGATTTTAGAAAAAAAGAAAAGGAGTACTTGTGGCACCTTAGCGACTAACCAATTTATTTGAGCATTAGCTTTCATGAGCTACAGCTCACTTCATTGGATGCATCTGATGAAGTGAGCTGTAGCTCAGAAAAGCTTATGCTCAAATAAATTGGTTAGTCGCTAAGGTGCCACAAGTACTCCTTTTCTTTTTGCAAATACAGACTGACGCGGCTGCTACTCTGAAATCTAGATTTTAGAAAACGTTCTCCACCTTATGACAAATGTGAAGGTCACTTTTTATGCCTAAATGGTCCATTGACATTCTTTTTTTAATGATTATAGTATTTGTTTTCAGAAATATTAGCATAGATTCCTGTCTCATGAGTATATTCTCATGGGACAGGAATACCAAGAAAATAAGCATTCTCTAGTTGTAATAAGGCTTCTAATCAAAAACACATGGATTATAGGCTATATTAATAAAACTTACTTCCAGTGATTGTCCCACTAAAGGACAATGTGATGCGTAATAGAGCCTGCGGCTCAAGATCATCTTCTGGAAAGAACAATATCTGTTAGGACATGGGTGGGCAAACTTTCTGGACCGAGGGCCACATCTCGGTGAGGAAATTGCATGCGGGGCCATGAATGTAGGGGTGCGGGAGGGAGTGTGGAGGGGGTGTGGTGTGCAGGAAGGGGCTCAGGGCAAGGAGTTGGGGCAGAGGAGAGGTGCAGGGTCTATGAGGGGGTTCAGGGAAGGGGGTTGGGGTTCAGGAAGGGTGTGGGCATGCAGCAGGGGGCTCAGTGCAGGGGGTTGGGGTGCAGGAT